CCCTCCTCCCTTCTCTACTCCCGTCTTTTTTCCTTTCTTCTTTTCTCTTCCCTCCGCTTCCTTTCCTCCTTTCTTTCCTTCTTTTCTTCCTTTCTTTCATTCTTCCCCCTCTTTTCTTTCCTTTTTTTCCCCCCTCTTAATGCGCTCCTCCTGGTGGCGACGCGCTACCACCGACGCGGCCCATTTTATACACTCCCTATATTTATCCGCCTTTTTCGTTCTCCGAAGACGGTGACTGTCGTCGTTCCGCGTTTTATTGTCCCAGCGTTCCGTGTCGCAACGCCGCGCCGCGAAAGACGTGAAGCGAATCGAAACACGGAAAGGAAACACGGGGCCTGGATCCCGTGAATACATCTCCGTGGAACAAACGGTGGCGAATATAGGAGCCGGTCGCGTTTCCCGTTTGAAAAACCAGTTGAAAGATCCAGCTCGTCGAACGCTCTCCCCCGCTTTACGTTATATCCCCGATATTATCGCTCCACCCATTATTTCACCTACGTCTTCCGCCCTACATCCAATCCTTCGATATCTCGTCGACGAGACCAGATATATCCAGAACCGTGTTTGTCATTCCGTCGATTACGACGTCGATACGGGGAAAAGGATACGCGCCGGGATTAATTTATCCACCGTCCCCGGCGTCTCGTCGACGCTGTTATTAAACGGCGGGTCAGAGGGAAATAATTCGAGCGATAATTCGAAAATATTTGCGTAATTATCGTTACCGAGGCATCGCGCCTACGTTAAACCCCCTTCCCCTCCCATTAATCCGACCGCGATAGAAGCCAACTCGAAGCTGCTACGTTCCCCGACTACGTTCGATATCAATTATCGATTTACGGAATCGTATACCCCGGCTTTTCTCGCTCTCTCTCTCTCTCTCTCTCTTTCCTTCTCTCCTCTCGCCGCACTCGCCTCTGTACAGTTCCCTATATAACCACCGCCCTCCAAACTATCCAACCGCGTCTATCCTGGCCGCAATATAATTTGCTTAATTCTCGCGGCGGCGTACCGGCAACGAGCTAACTTACGTCTCAGGTGTAACGATAACTCGGTTTCCGCACCTGGGGAGGAGAGAGAGAGAGAGGGAGAGAGAGAGGAGGGGGAGAGGAGAGGAATCGCTTCGTCGCTGGCTGGTCAGCTTCGACCAACTCGATAAGGTTGCTACCGCTCGTGGTTTCGCGAGTAGTATCCCTCCTCCCTCCTTCCCTCCAATCTATACATCCGCGCGCGTGTGTGGGTCGCGCGACACGGCCGACTCGGAAATTATTCATCGGGGCTGATCAACAATGGAATAGGCAGACCAGGATGGTGGACAGGCAGAGGGAAAGAGCGACGGAAGAGGGAGGAGAGAGGACAGAGCGCGGCTGTCGAAAGGAACGGAGGAAACCTATCTCTGATGATTTCGAGTGTGCGGGTCCCCGCTTTTGTTCCACGCCGCGCGATAATAAATCATCGTCGCTCTAATTAACGGCGGCTCAACCCCCGCCGAATAAAATTAACCAAGGAATAAATATAACGCTGATCCTCGATTTTCGAGATCGATTCGCGAAAAATTCGCGAAGGAGGAAAAGAAAGAAGGTTCTTCTTCTAGGAGCATTCCTTCTCCTCCGATACGAAGTTTTCATGCATCGTGATCAGGGCTCAGGTTGAAACAAGAGTTTGAAAAACACGGAAGGGGGGAAAAAATGGTGAATGGTGTCGTTTCGTCCCTTGTTGTTGTTACGAGGAACAGAATACCTCTTCCAAGCTGGTTTTAGATAGATAGAGCTCGTCGTCATCGAAGATTAACCGGAAAGTTGTCCAACAGGATCGAGCTGATGCGGGGTGAGATGGTTCGATGTTGCACCCGATTCGGCTCGAGCCTCGTGTCTCGGTTTACCCGACGATCGGCCCCGGCTAATTGGCCAAGCCTTCAATTTTTCACCTTCGATCATCGCGTCTACCTCCCCTCCCGCTTTTTCACGCCTCTCTATCCACACACGGTATCTTCTCCATTATTATTCTTGGCTATTGATGGTGCGCGTGGAAATGGGTTGGCGAGCACCACGGTGACTCGTTAAAGGTAACGAGGAGGAGGTATGAAAATGTTACGGGGTATTAAATCAAAATTATAATTACTCGTCATTCTCGTGGATATTCAATTAATCGTTACGGTCTCGACACGGTAAACGATGGTTAGGTTTTTTTTGTGCGAGTTGATAATTGTTATTCATTCGTGCAAATAGTTCTCGAAATATTTCGAGAGACGCGATTGGAAGGGAATACGATGTTAACGTTAACGACAACGTTGACAAGCAACGCGAATATTTTTCTAGCAGCTTCAAGAATCGAGGCGGCTCTAATTCTCGACGACTATTAATCTCTCCCCGCGCCACGCGACGGCGGATTGAGATTCAAACGCGACCAATACGAGGGGGAAGGAAGGAAAGAAGGAGGGAAAGGGGGAGGCGTAATTTCGATGTCATTTTGAGAAAAACGTCGATCGTCGAGGTGGAGGAGGAAAATTGGACTGGCGACGAGTGAAGGTAAACGAGCATCGGGGAAAGCTATCGAGGGGTTGGATTTACGGGGGGAGGAAGAGAGGGTGGATCTGTTTAAATGATATCGACGCGAATGAGGTAGCAGGAAGGGAGAAGGAAGGATATATGTAAATATCGTATCTGCGTAAGAGGCGTCTTTCACTCGGTCTCGCTTTTCATGGAAATTTCGTAGGGAAATTGAAAGGCCGCGGACACTTTATGCTTTAACTTTGATACAATGCTTGTATATTTAATCATCTCTATATCGTGTCAATTAAGAAGTTAAATTGCTTCGTTCGCGTTATTTGCTTTTTTTTTTTCCCTCCTCTATCTTTTTTTTCCCTTTCCCTCTCTCTCTCTCTCTCTCTCTTTCTTCCTCCCTTTCGCTTAACCTCGAACGACGAACGTGAGAACATGGCTTCGACTAAGATGGATTAATTATCGAAGACGCCGTGTAATGAGTCCTCGAACGGGAGGAAGGAGACGAAGAGTCACGGGCGTCGAGCGAAAAAAAAAAGCAAGTCTGGAAAAAAAAAGGAGAGGCAAAGTGACGAAGAGAGAGAGAGAGAAAAAGAGAGACGACGAAGAAGAAACTTCGTTCCTCGTAAAGCATTCGAAGCTTTACTCGAGCATTGGAACCCTCGCGGTTCGTTCAAGGAAGAACGACCAGCAGACGGGACCAGTTGAATTCGTTTAATTACCCTCATTATCCATTTTAGCTTTGTTCGATTTAAACCGGGCTCGAGCCATGCGGAACATCGTGGTGGATGGTAATTATACCTACATCGGCCTATCCGGTTTGCAATTGGATCGCATGCGATTTCACGGAGAGATTATTATTCCTTTCTTTTTTTTTTCTTCTTTTTTTTTTTTTTTTCGAGATTAAAACTTCTTTCGCGAAAATTTGTCCGAAAGTTAATTCGAAACAGTTAGATGTATCGAAACGGTTATATTACGTCGTTAAATTTATCGATTGGCTCGTAAACAAAAATTCGGGGACCTTCGAGAGGATTTTAATAATGGAAATAAAATGCGGAGTAATATACTGATTGGCGTGCGATGAAGTGTAGTTGAAATAAATGAAAATTAAATTGGAAAATTAACGGTTTGTAATTTAAGCAAATGGAGATGCGAAATTAGTGGCCGGTTTATTAACGTGTCGCTTCTGAACGGAGAGGAAACGAGGGAAGGAGAATTCTCTTCTCTCTGAAAAGAGAGAGAGAGAGAGAGAGAGAAAGAAGGAAAAATATCACTCCGTCATCGTATATTATATTCGCGAAAATATTCGTGATTCGTATTTGAGCAATACGATCGTTCCTTCGTATATAAATTTCCGTTAGTTTGAATAATCAGAATTTCAACTGGTGACCTACAACCATCAGGGGAAAATGGCGCGTTGCGTTTCAGCTTTTTTTACGCCCCATTTTCGTACAAACTTCGTACACGCGCGTTTGCACGTGAATACAAAGCGTTCCGTTCCAACTTTCGAATCGCGAAATACGCTCATTGTTCGATCCGTTGTCATCGTTCCACGCTTGTTTTCGCGTGGCCGATGCGGTTGAATGACTCAACCATGGAGTAGAGAGTATCGTTAATACAAGCGGCGGGCAAAAATACAGCGTTCGACGAGGAACACTCACCCTCGGTGTGAGTCACGATTTCGTCGCCACCGCGCCCGACGTTAATTCGTCCAGAGAGTCTCGTACACGAAGTTTCGGCAAAAAGACCGAGCAATAATTACGCTACTCCCGATCGTTAAAAGCTCGACGAG